AGGATGTGACCTGGATGTGCTCCGAACGAGGACAAAAAGACATGAGCCGTATGCAGAGGTGCCCGTCCTTCAGAGTCTCTGGGTCACCTGGCGGGACCTTCTCCAGATCTGAGCGGAAACCTGGCAGTACCTTCAGCAAACTCGCTCCTGATTGGATCTTTGGTTCACACCCGGATTTCCAAATATGGTCCCTGTCCCCCCGCTCAGTCCACTGTGTGATGTTACTGTATGTGGTAATACAGGAAGTGCTCCACAAGCCTTCACTAGAATCATTTGGACGACTTCAACCCTGGAATTTTCTCGACTGAACTCAAGATAAAAGGAGCTGGTCACTTGAAAAGAGCCACTACATGACATCACAAGGTGGAACAGAGTGTTTTGAGCTTTGGAGATGCAGACAGACTCATAATAAAGAGTTACTCAAACATGTGAATGAAACAAAACACAACTCCAGGTTTGTGTTTGAGGACAACATTCTAGCATGACTTAAAGCTCAACAGTCAGATTGTGTAATGTAGAACCGATACGACCAGTGTGGGTGATGTTTAATTCAGAATAAAAATAATTAAATTCTGAATAAAATTTAATTCTGCTTTAAAAAGTCCATGTAAACACTTAATTCCTAATGAAAATGATTATTCAGAGTTCAACTTAATTCCGAAGTAAGTGGGAGGTTTATTCTGATTTTAAAGCCAAATGGATTTAGTCTTCGATCATGTAACATTTATTTTTCTTAAATGTCATTCCAGTCGTTCATGCTCGGTGGGTTGCCCTTCTGATGCGATCCAGATGATTCGGCTCAGTTACATACTGACACTTTGACATTGACGTCTAATTGTTGGAGTGGCGGCGTCTCCATTTTTTATCAAATGTTCCAACCACTCCACTCCAACAATTTTTTATTTTTTTTTCTTTGTCGGCGTTAGTCAGGCTGGCGCCACCTAGTGCCTCCACTCAATTTAATTTCTCTCCAGCGACTAGGTCAGAAATTAAAATACACAAGACGGTTTACAAAAACCCCAGAAGTGTGAGTTCAGGCACCAGCCAATCAGCGAAGACTCATATATTCTGTGTTGTCAGCGATTCCCAAGATCGAGGATTTAAAGCTGGAACAAAGAGAATGTTTAGTGAATCAGATCAAGGGGAAAGACGTTATTGTCCTTCTTCCTACGGGATTTGGGAAAAGCTTAATATACCAGTTAGTCCCGTTAGTGGTGCGTTACATACATCACGACCAAACAGCAACGACTGGTTAAATAAAAAAAGTATCCACCTACTGTCGAGCGAACAAAATCTAATGCTGCGAGGTCAGACGGTTTCTAAGAAGTGAAACCGTCTGGTGAATCAGGCTACGTCAGCGTGGCAGCATTTTCAGGATTAAAACTTTCTGTTTTAATCCTGGTTTAGACCTAGTTTTAGTCCTGATTTTAGTCCTGGTTTAATCCTGATTTAGACCTGGTTTAGTCTGGTTTAGTCCTGGTTTAGTCCTGATTTTACTTCAGATTTAGTCCTGATTTAGACCTGGTTTAGTCTGGTTTAGTCCTGGTTTAGTCCTGGTTTAGACCTGGTTTTAGTCCTGGTTTATACCTGGTTTTAGTCCTGACTTTAATCCTGGTTTAGTCTTGGTTTAGTCCTGGTTTAGTCCTGGTTTAGTCCTGGTTTAGACCCAGTTTATACCTGGTTTTAGTCCTGATTTTACTCCAGATTTAGTCCTGGTTTAGGCCTGGTTTAGACCCAGTTTAAGTCCTGATTTTAATCCTGGTTTAATGTTGGTTTAGTCCTGTTTTAGTCCTGGTTTAGACCTGGTTTTAGTCTTCATTTTAGTCCTAGTTTAGTCTCGATTTAGTTTTGGTTTAATCCTGGTTTAGTCCTGGTTTAGACCTGGTTTTAGTCTTCATTTTAGTCCTAATTTAGTCTCGTTACCGAGCAACCATACTATAAACTGGGCCAAAATCCCTCTAATGTTGCAGAAATTCAAATCTGACAAATAAAAATATAAGAGTAGAAATCATATTTAGTTGAAATCATGTTTAAAATAACAGAAAAATGTGTAAATGAATAATAAGTAGAAACTTGTCATCAGTGTGGAACTCTCTATTTCCTGCCATTTTCAACATAATTTTCAACTTGTTTTCATACGTTGCTTCTTGATTGGTGTAAAACTCACTAAGAATCATTTAGATTTACACCAGGTCTTATCCCGCCAGATTAACTCAAAGTGAGAGAAGAATCCAAACCAAACATATTTTAACACTTGAAATCAGGACTATATTTTGAATGTTTTGTAAAAGTAACATTTTTCCTCCAGGAAGTTCAGTGACACGTCCAAATACGGGCAGGACTTCCTCTGGGTAAATACACTTTATGTAAATGAGGAGAGCAGAGTGCAGCAGCAGACTGTGTCCAGCAGAGGGCAGCAGACTGACTTAGACTTACACTTAAACAAACTTTATTTTACTGACAACAGCAGCTCACACGTCACAATATAATATAACAACAAAAAGAATATATATATATATATAAATGGTGATAATACATTTGAAATAAGAAGCAAAAAAGAGAAAGAGACATTATCTGTTCCATAAGGGTGAGTTGTTGTACAGTTGTAGGGAGTATTATCTGTTACATAAGGGTGAGATGTACAGTTGTAGGGAGTATTATCTGTTAGATACGGGTGAGTTGTTTTACAGTTGTAGGGAGTATTATCTGTTCCATAAGGGTGAGTTGTTGTACAGTTGTAGGGAGTATTATCTGTTACATAAGGGTGAGTTGTTGGACAGCTGTAGGGAGTATTATCTGTTCCATAAGGGTGAGTTGTTGGACAGTTGTAGGGAGTATTATCTGTTCCATAAGGGTGAGTTGTTGGACAGTTGTAGGGAGTATTATCTGTTCCATAAGGGTTAGTTGTTGTACAGTTGTAGGGAGTATTATCTGTTCCATAAGGGTGAGTTGTTGTAGAGTTGTAGGGAGTATTATCTCTTATATCAGGGTGAGTTGTTGTAGAGTTGTAGGGAGTATTATCTCTTATATAAGGGTGAGTTGTTGTAGAGTTGTAGGGAGTATTATCTGTTCCTCACTGTGACAAATGTCTCCAGGTCACAGTGGATCAAATGAGCAGTTTTATGGATCAGTTGTCCCAGTGTCCCTTTTTCCTGGAGCTGCTCTTCCAGCAGAACACACAGAAATCCAGGGCACTGGCCTCCACAGACTGGGAGAAGATCTGAAGAAACTTCCTGCACACAGTGAAAGACCTGAGCTGTGTCATGAAGTCGAGTCTCCTCATGTTCTTCTTGTACACAGCGTTACTGTTGTCCCTCCAGTCCAGACTGTTGTTCACCTGGACACCAAGGTTCTTGTATCAGTCACTATTTCCACATCATGGTCCTGGATGGTGACGGTTCCTCTGGTTTCCTCTTCTCCTCAAGTCTTCACCAGGTCCTTGGTCTTGTCAATGTTCAGGAGCAGATGGTTTGTCTGGGAGCACTCCTCAAAATCTGTCCTCCAGCACCTGTCTGTCTCTGATACACCCAGCACCTCTCCCAGCACCTGTCCCAGCACCTGTCCCAGCTCCTGTCCAGCCCTGTCCCAGCCACCCTGTCCCAGCTCCTGTCCACCCTGTCCCAGCACCTGTCCCAGCTCCTGTCCCAGCACTGTCCTGTCCCAGTCCCAGCCCTGTCCCAGCTCCTGTCCCAGCACCTGTCCCAGCTCTGTCCCAGCACCTGTCCAGCTCCTGTCCCAGCCCTGTCCCAGCCCTGTCCCAGCACCTGTCCAGCTCCTGTCCCAGCTCCTGTCCCAGCCCTGTCCCAGCTCCTGTCCAGCACCTGTCCCAGCACCTGTCCCAGCTCCTGTCCCAGCTCCTGTCCCAGCACCTGTCCCAGCACCTGTCCCAGCACCTGTCCGTCTGTGATACACCCCAGCACCTGTCCCAGCACCTGTCCCAGCACCTGTCCAGCTGTCCTGTCCCAGCACCTGTCCCAGCACCTGTCCCAGCTCCTGTCCCAGCACCTGTCCCAGCTCCTGTCCCAGCACCTGTCCCAGCTCCTGTCCCAGCACCTGTCCAGCACTGTCCCACCCTGTCCCAGCACCTGTCCATGTCCCAGCACCTGTCCCAGCACCTGTCCCCAGCACCTGTCCAGCTCCTGTCCCAGCACCTGTCCAGCACCTGTCCCAGCACCTGTCCCAGCTCCTGTCCCAGCACCTGTCCCAGCTCCTGTCCAGCACCTGTCCCAGCACCTGTCCCAGCACCTGTCCCACCCTGTCCCAGCACCTGTCCCAGCACCTGTCTGTCTCTGATACACCCAGCACCTGTCCCAGCACCTGTCCCAGCACCTGTCCATCTGTGATACACCCCAGCTCCTGCCCAAGCTCCTGTCCCAGCACCTGTCCGTCTCTGATACCTCCAGCCTCTGCAGAATCATCAGAGAACTTCTGCAGGAGGCAGGACCTGGAGCTGTACTGAAATCAGAGATGAACAGAGTGAAGAGAAACAGACTGTGTCCAGCAGGGGGCAGCTCTCTTTCATCTCCCTCTCCTCTCCTCTCCTCTCCTCTCATCCTTCTCTCAGCCCTTCTTCTTTCCTCTTTTTCTCTTTCCTCCTTCTTTTTCTTTCTCTTCTGCTATCCCCGTCTCTCTTCTCTCTCTCGTGTCTTCTCTCCTCTTCTCTCTTCTTCTCCTTCCTCCACCTCTCTCTCTCTCCTCTGTCTTTCTTCTTTCTCTCCCCTCCTCTCTCTCACACTTTACTTAAGCTCTCTCCCACTCCTCTTTTTCTCTTTCTGGCTCACTCTTCTTGTCTCCTCTCTCCCTCCATCTCTCTCTTTTTTCTTTCCATCTTTCCTCCTCTCCTCCCCTGCTCTCCCTCCTTTCTCTCCTCCTCCCCTCTTCTCTCTCTCTTCTTTGCACTCGTTCACTGTTTACTTTCAGATTAATAATTGTCAGGAGTTGATTGTTTTTGCAGCGTCCTGTTTTTTTCCAGGTCTGTGAACACACCACGGCTCCTCTCATACTTCTACTGCCTCTGTACTTCTACTGCAGTAGTACGACAGTAGTACTACATCAGTATTTCAGGTCTGGAGTACTTTTTAGGATAATACTGCATTTTATGGGCCACAAACATGGGACCAAGAAATACAGGTAGGAGCATTTCAAAACAAATTGACATATTTGAGACCTTAAAACTTGAGGTGGCGATCTACTGATATACACCTGTGTGTCAGATGCCCTCCCATCCTCCTCCTGTGTGTCAGGTATACCTCTGGAGACGAAGAGGTGGAAAAAGTACTGAAAAATTGTAATTAAGTTCAAGTATCTTTACTTTGCTTAATTCCTACTCAAGTAAAATTAAAACTAACCATCTAAAAATCTACTCGAGTAAAAGTTAATTAATTACTTTCAGTTATTTGATGTAAAAAAAAAGGATGAGTCATAAATCTAATCCAGCTCAAGTTGTTTTAATAAACTTTTAGGTGTTAAAGACAAACTTTGTTCAGGTCAAACTTTGTATGTTTTAAAGACAACTGAGCTCACCAACACTTACTATTTTAACACTTATTATTTTAACACTTACTATTTTAACACTTACTGTTTTAACACTTTTTTAACACTTAGTATTTTAACACTTAATATTTTAACACTTACTGTTTTAACACTTACTATTTTAACACTTACTGTTTTAACACTTACTATTTTAACACTTACTATTTTAACACTTACTGTTTTAACACTTACTTTTTTAACACTTACTGTTTTAACACTTACTTTTTAACACTTATTATTTTAACACTTACTGTTTTAACACTTACTTTTTTAACACTTATTATTTTAACACTTACTATTTTAACACTTACTGTTTTAACACTTACTATTTTAACACTTATTATTTTAACACTTACTATTTTAACACTTACTGTTTTAACACTTTTTTAACACTTAGTATTTTAACACTTAATATTTTAACACTTACTATTTTAACATTTACTGTTTTAACACTTACTGTTTAAACACTTTTTTAACACTTACTTTTTTAACACTTACTATTTTAACACTTACTTTTTTAACACTTTTTAACACTTGCTGTTTTAACACTTGCTGTTTTAACACTTGTATTATTATGTTCTTCTGTATTTTACGTCTGTCTGAGGTTTGGCCAGAGGTTTCCTTCTCTTTCCTCTCCAGAATGATTCAGTGCATCTTCTTGTTGAACATCGTCATGACGACCTCGATCTGTGGCTCCAGCCTCATCCACATCCAACACACACTGACGCTTCTGTTCCTCACTGAACATTCTAGAGGAACATGCTGCACGTTCAAGCCCGCGCAATTTACTTTCATTTCCCTGGTAGATTTTTTTTTTTTTCTCTGTCAGTCTGATTTTACTCAGTAACGAGGGCAGGTTCCAATGTCAAGTAAAATACTTGAGTCCAAATGTGCTTGAGTAAAAGTAAAATGACCTATTTTTAAAACTGCTTAAAAAATAAGTAAATAAAAATAACAAATTACTCATAAAAGCTAATTACAGTAACGTGAGTAAATGTAATTGAGTACTTTCCACTCTTGGTCAGACGCCTTCTATCATCTTGTATCTTGTGTGTCTCCTGACCTAGTGTCTTCTCGTCTTCATGGAGATGTTCCGCAGTGTGGCATTAAATGGATGTTGTATCTTGACTCATCTGACATTTGGAGATGATAAGATTTGTTTGATTACAGTTTATGATGCGGATGTGTTGACCTGGTTTATGGTTCATATCTTTAATTACTGGGCCTATCCACACGAAATAAACACCGGCACAAGGTTCAGCGTCTTCTCTCTCAGTGCTGACTCTTTTCAGTGGGGATATTCTACATGCATGTCTATGGCGGAATGTTCAGCAGTTACCATGGTGACACAAGGTACGTCTGAAAAAAAAAAAGAAATCCAAAAAAGTATTTAAAGAGCACTTTTTGAGGAGCTGTGATCAGTGCGACAGTTCATGATCCAGTGGATCAGGACTTTGATTTTCAGTTAAAAGGTGAGAGACTGTGACTAATGTTATTTATGAGAGATGTGTTTAAAAGTACAAATGATCTCACCTGATGTAGCGCAGATAAATCATTTCTTTTTGGTCAGACTGTGTTCAAACAAAGCTCAGATTGAAGTGTTCAAAAGTGTCGCCGTTATCCAACCCCAGACTTTAACTTTAAGATGACGAGTTTGTGGAGCTGATCCCAAACAAAGAATGAGAAGAAGAAAAATTTGTGGATCAGAAGTTTGGAGATTTCTTTTAAAAAACAGTGAATCACCCACAGAGTTCTCTAGGCCCCTGCTCCAGCTGAAACTACGGCTCCATCTGAAACTGGGCAAAAACACCTCCCTGTGTTCCTTCTCTTTATCCTTCTCTTTATCGCTGACGTCTGGGAGCTTGAGGTCATGAGGTCGACGATAAGGACCAAGGAGGAAGGAGCAGTGAGGAGAAGGAGCTATCGCTGCTTTAGGTGGATCTGGATGCTCCAAACCAGTCAAAACTACAACTCCCAGAAATGGACTACAACAACTACTGCACGAGTCTTATGAGAATGATTTAAACCTTTCACTTTTTTCATCACAAACCAGGAGCTGATGTAAATCAAGTGAGTGACATGGCTGTTAAATAAAGAGCCGCATTAAACCTGCACAAGTATAATCTCTGAAAAGAAAAAAAAAAAAATCTCCAGTGCAATAGAAGCATAGAACAGACTGAACATCAGCAGCACATCCTCTGTCACAGAGAGAACACTCATATTCCACTCAGTCGTGTCCTTTAGTCCCACAGAAGACGGAGAGAGACGTTTTTTTCAGTGCTTATAGTTTATGCAAATTAGTGAAGTTTTGTTTCTTTAAATCATAAACAAATGTGTCAAATCTGCATTAAACACATTATAATGTCAGATTGATGTGGTTCTAGTGGTTCTGGTTTATATTTTATAAAGTTGAGTTTATTTACACCGAAGATTTAAATGAAGAATCTGCTGCGGTGTAGAACTTGTACAATAGTGTCTGGAAATGTTTAGTTTGATCTGCGCTGTGAATTGTGGGATTAAACCTCATAGCTCCTTTAGTCAGTCTGGTGCCACCTACTGCCTCCGCTCAATTCCATTTCTCTCCAGCGACTAGGTCAGGAATCGGAATATACTTGATGGTTTGCAAGAACTCCGGAAGAGCGAGTTCGAGCAAAAAGCAATATATATACATCCAAAGATATAAATATAAATAGAGCCAGATATTCTGTGTTGGCAACGATTCCTGAGCTGGAACAAAGAGAATGTTTGGTGAATTTTATCAAGGGGAAAGACGTTATTGTCCTTCTTCCTACGGGATTTGGGAAAAGCTTAATATACTAGTTAGCCCCGATAGTGAACATTTTATACAACCAAACAACAGCAAATGGTTAAATAAAAAAAGTGGAGCGAATGAATTCTAATGCTGCAAGGTCAGACGGTTTCCACAAAGTGAAACCGGCTGAGGAATCAGGTTATAGTTCCTTACCGCTGGTTAGGAACTAGGAAGGAGCAATGAAAGGAAGCATAACTGCTCCTTTCCTTACTCCTTCCTACCTTCACTGATCAGTTCAGACGGTCCTTGTCGTGGTCATGGAGGAAAGGAACTTCCTAAGAGCTTTTAACCATTTTTGGATGCACCGTATGACATCAGTATCTCACCAAGAGATTCCTGTGCTGAATAAGTAACATTTGATTGATTAAATGCCTATTACCATTGTACATGTATTATTTTGATGCCTACACTGTAAAAAAAAAAAAAGTTAAAATGACTTCAATTGAGAACATTTGACTTTATTTGAGTCGATTCAACTTGACAAGTCAAATGATCGACCAATGGAATAAGTGTGTTTTCTTATTTCAAGCAACATTACATTTAGTTTCAGAAATGTCTCAAACCCCAACAGCTGATATAAACCCAAACCCCAGCGACAGAACTATCCCTGTCCCTGGGACGACTAACACGACACCGGACAGGACAGAGGCTCCCTCAGAGCGAAATAACATCCTGTGTCGCAGGTTAATACGAACACTTCAAGACCAAACTGACGAGGCAACAGCAGCAGCCACAGAGAGACAAGACACAATATTCCAATGTAAATCAGTGACTAAAATCACTTTTAACGGCAATTTTGTTACAGAGACTTAATAATCCATCCATCCATTTTCTTCCGCTTATCCGGGGCCAGGTCGCGGGGGCAACAGTTTAAGCAGGGACTCCCAGACTTCACCCTCCTCCTCCACGTCGAGAGGAGCCAGGTGAGGTGGCTCGGGCATCTGTTCCGGATGCCTCCTGGGCGCCTCCCTCGGGAGATGTTCTGGGCATGTCCCACCGGGAGGAGGCCACAGGGAAGACCCAGGACACGCTGGAGGGACTATGTCTCTGGGCTGGCCTGGGAACGCCTCGGGGTCCCCCCGGAGGAGCTGGAGGACGTGTCTGGGGTGAAGGAAGAGTTAATAATCCATTTTATTTATTGCTTTGGTTGTATTTGGTTAAGCAATGGTTTATTCAAGTGCATTTTTGTAAACAAGTCATTGTTGTAAGCCAGACACATTAGACTAGTCCTGTGTGAACAAGTCTGTTTTATTTATTCCTGTTGTTTTTTTTTGTTTTGTTTTTTTTTTGTCTTGAAGTTCCTGTGTGAAATGTTCTTTAGAAAGTAAGGTTTATTGATCATTGAGAGGATGTATTTGCATTTTTTTTCCATGGTCATTGTATTAGTTGAAATTGGTCTCAAAATGTCAATATTATCGTTTATCGCAATAAATTATCGGTCAATTAATCGTCCAGCAAAATCTGTTATCGTTACAGGCCTAGGCATCTGTAACTGTAACTGTACCTCATCTAAAATCGCTGTGGCTTTTATAAATAGTCGTTTCTTGTGACTGTTAAAACAAGTATCTGTGTGGTATTTTGGTTTTGTAGTAGTAGTAGCAGTAGTAGTAGTAGTAGTAGTAGGAGTAGTAGTAGGAGTAGTAGTAGTAAGTAGTAGTAGTAGTAGTAGTAGTAGTAAGAGACTCCTGCTCCAGAATGTGGACACAGACGATTGATTGACTGACACTTTCAGGACCAATAATCAGGACAAACACAGATCTGGCCCCGCCCTTGTTGTTTCCCTTTCACCCGGATCACCTGCTCCGGGTCCGACCTCCCTCCATGCCATGAGGTCATACGTCTCTGTGACCTCTGAACTTTGACCCTGACGCTGGAGTTTCACTTTTACAGCAAAACAACTGATTCTGAACTTTGCCACAGTCACATGTACCTCCTCCTCCTCATCCTCCTCCTGTTGACTTCAGTTTTTCCTAAACTTTTTTAAATTTTTTTTATTAAGGACAACAGAATATAACATAAAAAATACAACGATCAACATTTAACAAATACAATAATCAGCATAAAACAAAAGACCAAAATATAAAGCAACACCCACAACAAATACAAAACAACAACAACAACAACAACAACACACTCTAACACAAATCTGGCCAAATTAAACAAAAGTAATATGATAGTGCAACATAAACACACCGCTGGGCCACCCTGCGGCCAATTCACAACTGAATTCTGAATTCACTCTTTTTTATTTTATTTTTTTCAATTTTTTACCCTCCCATTTTTAAATAAATAAATACATTAAAATAATAATAATAATAATAATAATAAATAAATAAATAAATAAATAAATGTCCCTATACTTAAACCGATATTTTTTTTTCACCAATATTATTTTCACCATCATCATTTCCTTTCATAATTTTTTGTCATTTATTATAAACTCAAATCATAATTTAAAGGCATTTTTTTTCTTCCCCATTTTTAAATAAGTTTTTAGTCCAATATTATTTTCACCATCATCATTTTCCTTCACCATCCGTCACAATCTCAAAGCAGAATCCTTCAGGCATTTATTTTTATTTATTAGTTTATTTATTTATGTAATTTATTTATTTATGTAACACTTTATAATAACTACACCTTATTTAGTCTTAATAAAGCATGAACAAAGACTTAATTAATAATGATTCACACTTAGTAACTACTTAATTACTACCTTAATTAGCGCTTGCACTTAATTTGCCTGTGCTGGAAATAGTTACTCATAATTATTTCATACTTAATTACTCATGAACTAACCATTTGTGCAATTATTAATCATTAGTAAACTATGAGAGAATGATTTACTAATAATGCAATGCAATGATGATTCAGGCAGCGTTTATCTGTTAGTAAAGTCTTTCTGTGAGCTTTTCTAAAGTGAAGACTAATTACGCTTTATTAAGCATTTACTAAGTGTGAATCATTATTAATTAAATCTTTGTTCATTATTAATTAAGTCTTTGTTCATGCTTTATTAAGGCTAAGTAATGTGTAGTTATTATAAAGTGTTACCTATTTATTTATTTAACAACAACAACAATACTACTACTACTACTACTACTACTACTACTACTACTACTACTAATAATAATAATAATAATAATTATTATTATTATAATAACAATAATAATAAGGATAATAATAATTGTCTCTACTATTAATTACAATAATTACAACAATAATTTATTTCATTATTAACTTTTTATTCTTTCAGTAATTCTGTTCTAATGTGATGAAAAGTTCTGCAGTGAGGCTTTAAATCTCATTTATTACTCAAAACTGACACTTGTGAGCTTTAAGTCATGTTATAACACTGCTCCCTCCTCAAAAACACACCTGGTGGTTTGTTTCTTTTAGTAATCCTTTAGTTCCACCTTGTGACATCATCAGGTGGTGCTCCTCTGTGTTTCTGAACTCCACTCTGTTCACAGACTTGTTCAAATCATTCCAAAGTAAAAGTGAACCTCTCCTCTGTAGATAAATATCCTTGTGTTATAGTCCTAACGTTGAGCTGCTGTTCCTCAGAGTGTCCATCGAAGCTGAAGGCTCCAGCAGAGGGCGCTGTGTCTCGCTGTCGTAGCTGTAGCGACGGCGCCCGGTACAGACCCAGGACCGGACCTGGACTCGGACTGCACAATCCCAAATCAGGTCTGGGTCAAATAATACACATGTTGTTGTGATGTTTGTGTACTGAGATTTGGGGCAATACACGTAAGACTAAAACAAATCCAATCTTTACCTGCAAACAAAGACAATAACACACGATCAACTTCTAATCAACCAATCAGTGCGTTATTTATAAACCTTCAAACTCTGACATTTTATGATTTCATCCACCTTTACACTTTGAAAATCATGTCTAATATAAACTGCAATCTCCTGTCAAAATCATAGAATGTGTTCAAAATCCAAAATCTGATCTGTTTATTAAAAAGAAAATCACAACAAACATTATGAAATTGAGTTTATCTGGAGCTGTGGAGCAACTGTACAGAAAACCTAAACCTGTGCACCACTCTGTTCCATTTGATAAAGAAGTTTAAATGTTTAGCTCTGGGCAGATCCATGAATGATGATGCTCAGTTTGTGTTGTGATCATTTGTTGAACTGTTAC